GTCAGCAGCTACAGTTTTTGTAGCTGCTGCCTTTTTTCTTTTTTTTTTTGCAGCTCGAACTCCACTTTATCAAAATGAAGCTGAACTCTAGCTAACACTTTGTTAGCCGTTACAACAACTCCCTTTTCCTTTTGAGATTAAGGTTTAACATTATTGAATAAAAGCTAACCACTGTAAGCACCCCTGTCATTGTTAAATGGTTTTGTCTCAGCCCTCAAACAGCTACTTTTACTGGGCAGCTTGGTCTGTTACAGGAAGTAGAAAAATAACAGACTTACTGGCCAGATCGACAAGTGAAAACAAAGGGGAAAAAAAAACGAATGCACCCAGGAACTGGTTAGCTACAATATTACATATTTTTTTTGTCTGGTGTTGGGTTTAATATCATTTTAAAGTACACTGTGGAAGGTAGGAGCACAGTAAATGTTTGGCAAATAAGTAGTCAATTTCTGTGTTTTCTGCAGTGTTTTTTAAAGTACTAAACAATATGTAAATGTGTTTGTATCCACGTATGAGTGAACCTTTATCTTGTAAAACAAACTATTCAGTTTAAAACAGAAGTGCAAGGCAAAACGTTTGTGTATAGATATAAAAAAACATTCTATATAATTTATAAAACAAAAAATAAGAAAAATAAAGTATCACATGACCTCTCATCTCAGGTGCATAAGGGGCTTAGGTAAGGGGGAGTGTCAGCGGGAGGGAGACAAAAAGCAGTTCACTGATCTTCCCAGTGAAGAGCTGTTTGGTGGGGGGGGGGGAGCATGTCAGCACAAGTCTGACCACTGGAGGGCAGGGAGGCTGGCTGTGCTCTCAAGAAGAATGCAAAGAAGAAAACTGACCACACTTGGATGATGTGCTTCAATGCTTAGCGTGGTCAGTTTGAAATAGGAAAGCAGGGGAGACTGGCAGGGTCACCAGGTATTTCACACAAAAGAAGCAAGGAGAAGTATGGCTAAAGCTATTTGACTATCCGTCTCCTGTCAGTTCTGCACTCCTGTAACCAAGATTCAGCCAACAGCTGACTAAAGCCCATTGTCAGCTGATGTCACAGAGCCGCTGCAGGTTCTGCAGGGATCCCGACAATAATGTTAGGATCTGGACAGATGCCTGACAGGACACCTGGCTCAGCCTCTCAACATGCTTCTGAGAGCCTGGGCCAGCGGCTTCCACCCCCTTCACAGCCCAGTGCTCCAGTGAGCGCTGGAGGGACAGAGCACTGAGTCAGTGACTGGGAGTCACAAGCTCTCTGCTCACTGAAGAACAAGATATGAGCGATCAGATAGATGCTGCATCCATGTCAGTGGTCTTCAAACTGCAACCTGGGGGCCAGATGTGGCTCTTTGTTGGCTTTTATCCAGCCTTTGAGGCATTTTTTAACCCCACTGTCAGCAACAGTGGGGCATAGTTCCGGCCATTAACACCAACAGGGCACTAGTCCTCTCACTGACACCAACGATGGGACACTCTCCCAACCACTGACACCAACTATGGCATACTATTCCTCCCATTGAGAAAGATGATGGGGCACTATTCCTCCAATTGATAACAATGATACGGCACAATTCCTCAGCTTGATACCAACAATGGGGCACTATTACTTCCACTGATATTAATGATGGAGCAGTATTCCTCCCACTGACACCAATGATGGGACACTATTCCTCCCATTGATACCAACAATGGGGCACTATTCCTCCTATTGATACCATTAATGGGGCACTATTCCTCCCATTGATACCATTAATGGGGCACTATTCCTCCCATGGATACCATTAATGGGGCACTATTCCTCCCATGGATACCATTAATGGGGCACTATTCCTCCCATTGATTCCATTAATGGGGCACTATTCCTCCCATGGATACCATTAATGGAGCATTGTTTACTGACACCAGGATATTTTCTACTCCCATTGGCCACAGTCTGGTCCCCCTAAAGTTTGGAGGATGGCATTCTGGCCCTTTGTTCAGAATGTTTGGAGAACCCTGATCTAGATGAATATAATTGTTTTGTTTGAAAGCTCATACTTCTCTTAATACAAGTACATGGTAACACAGACACATCAGGAATATGAAATAATGCGGTAACATACTTTGGCAATAGGGATCAAATTACTTCTCCATTTTTCAGCAGTGAGTAATCATAAAAATAGGGAACTACATTATTCTAAAGATCTGATGGATAAAGAATACCTAACAGGTGAAGAATCTGATGATGTTTACAGGTCTAAAATGTATGTTCTTCATTTGTTTTTTTTTCTGAGAGTCTTCGTTCAGTAAGACTTAGACCATATAAAGTTTTTAGTGGCTGGTTCAAGAAAGAAATGTGGTTTAACTTCAAATGAATGATTTATAATACAAGCAGATAGACTGGCAACATAAAGCTGTGCTGTTACAAACTGCCAGAGCTGAAATAAACTGAAACCTTAAAATGAACAGCTGCTGCAGCTGCAGGCAGAGCTCAGACTACATGCACACCTCTGGCAAAGAAAAGAACTATTGTTACCTTAAGTACTTCTGGGACAAAACTATTTTGAGTGGCGAAATCTCACAGGAAACATTAGTCTGTGGTTAATTCTGTAACCTATAACAGGTACCAGTGCCTGATTTGTTGGATAATAGGGTATTGTTGCAGTGCTGCTCAAAACATCCTGTGGCGTGAATTTGTGCAGTGTCACAGTATGTAGACGCTGACAGATAGCCATCAGTCTAGGAGATAGCACAGTCTGGGGGAAAACATGCTGGAATTGTTTAGGTCCAAGAATTGCTATTGCATAATACAGTTTTACACATGCAGGACTTTACTGATGGGCTGTAATCTAGAAGTTCCATACTGGAGTGGAATTCACAATGGTGTCTGTAAACAACTTTCTAATAAAATGTCAGTCACAGCATACTTAAAACACATGCACCATTTTATGATACGCAGACAAAACTGTCATGAGTGTTTTTGCTGTATATCTTCAAAATATTAAATTTTCACTATACAGAGCGTACAGCAAAGCAAAATGCATACACTGATGTAGCGTTCAGATTCCAGCCACAATTTCCCTATTGTAGGTTGGATAATTGAACAATAATACCGGACTATTAACAAAAAGACAAAATTACTGCAGTTTTTTGGAAAAGCACTACAGTCTTAACCACATGACCTCTGGAAGTTTGCACCTTCTTCATGTCATGACCAGGCCATATTTTTCAATTCAGCGCTATGGTTCTTTAACTAGCAATTGCTTGGTCATGCAACAATGCACCCAAATGAAATTCATATTTTTTTCCCACACAAATAGAGCTGTATAAACAAGAAAATACCAAAAATTAAAAAAAAAAAAAAGTTTTTCTACGTTTCTTCATTTAGGCCAAATTGTATTCTGCTACATTTCATATGTTCATATGATGAGGGATGACTACTTTCCTCCAGACATAATTTTTGGAACTGAGGCCAAACAGTTCAATCTTGGTTTCATCAGACCAGAGAATCTTGTTCCACACAGTCAGAGTCCTTCAGGTGCTTTTTTGCAAACTCCAAGCGGGCTTTCATGTGTTTTTCACACAGAGGCTTCTGTCTAGTCACTATATTGGTGGAGGGCTGCAGTCATGGTTGTCCTTCTGGAACTTTGCCCCATCTCCACACAGAATCTCTGCAGCTCCGTCAGAAGGATCATCGGGTTCTTGGTCACCTCTCCTACTAAGGCCCTCCTTCCCCGACTGCTAAGTTTGGCCAGACGACCAGCTCTGAGAAGAGTCATGGTTGTGACAAACTTCTTCCAATTGAGCATTATGGAGGCCAATGTGCTTTTGGGAACATTCAGTGTAGAAAAATCTTTTTGGAGCCTTCCCTAGATCTGTGTCTTGCAATAATCCTGTCTCTGAGCTCTGCAGGCCTTTGACCTCATGGTTTTTCCTCTGATGCAGTATGCATTCTTTTATAGAGGTGTGTGCTTTTCCAAATCATGTCAAATCAATTTAATTTACCACAAGTGTCCTCCAATCAAAGTGTAGAAACAACCATCAGCAACTATTAAGAGAAATGAGAGGCACCTGAACTAATTTTCAACGCTGTTGTAAAAGGCCTGAATATGTATGCCAATGCAATATTTCGATTTTTCCTTTTTGAAAACATCTCTAAAATTCTGTTTTCACTTTTTCATTATGAGTATTGAGTGTTGCTTAATGAGAAAAAAAAATGAGGTTAAACAATTGTAGTATAAGGCTGCAACATAACAAAATTGAAAAAAAAAAAAGTCAAGTGGGTCTGAATACTTTATGAATACACTTCATATATCTTTATTACACAGGTTAGTCAGCAAAGGTGTTAGGAGAGAGGAGGGGAGCATTTTAAGACTAGTTAGGTTGAGTTTGGCATTTTACTTAAACCAATCTCACAACACACTTGCTTACTGGGCAGGATTGACTAAACATGTGCTGCTGCAGCGTGACTACATGCTCACATTTATGACTACAAAATAAGTACTGCGTCAGTAATGACGACTACACACAGACATCACACTCCTTTCTAATTAAGTTCTAAGCAAACGTACCTAATCATTGATGCATATGAAATCTTGTAAGAACTAATAAGAACAGGTACTAAGATAATCATATTTACATCTTGTCCACATCTCAAAACATTTAGCCCAAATTATTTAACCGCCTCCCGCCCGCCATATAGTACGACGGACACAAGGTGGTTCTCTCGTTCTGGGAGGACATCATATGACATCCTCCCATTCTAACCACGCATGTGCGGCTCTGGAATCGCACAGTGCGGGCACAGCAGATCACCGATCAACGGAAAGAGCTGAAGATGTCGGCTTGGTCATGTGATCAGCTGTGTCCAATCACAGCTGATCACATGTAAATAGGGAAATGTCGGTTATCGGCATTTCTCTCCTCACGAGCTGTCACGCTGACAGCTTGAGAGGAGAGCCGGTAATAAGCATTCCTTGGAGGGGACATTTACACTGATCATCAGGGCACTGATGATCAGTGTGCCCTGATGATCTGTGTTGCCCCAGCAGTGCCACCTGTCAGTGTCCATCAGTGCCAGCTGTCAGTGCTCATCCATGCCACCTGCCAGTGCCCATCAGTGCCACATCAATGCCACATTTCAGTGCCTACCAGTGCACATCAATGCCACATATCAGTGCCCATCTAAGCTGCCTTTCAGGGTCACCCATCAGTGCCAGTCAGTGCCACCTATCAATGTCAGTCAGTGCCACCTATCAGTGCTGCCAATCAGTGCAACCTATCAGTGCCAGTCAGTCCCGCCTATCAATTCCAGTCAGTGCCGCCTATCAGTGGGCATCAGTGTTGCCTATCAGTGCCACCTAACAGTGCCAGTCAGTGCTGCCTATCAGTGCCAGTCAGTGCCGCCTATCAGCCCATATCAGTGCCAGTCAGCCGCCTAACAGTGCCAGTCAGTGCCGCCTATGCAGTCCTAGAGTTCTGCCTTTCAGTGCCCATCAGCGTGCCAATGCCTCATCAGTGCCTCATCAGTGTCCATCAGTGCCGCAGCTATCAGTGCCATCACTGCAGCCTCATTAGCGTACATCAGTGCCTTATTTACTTTTTTTTTCAAAATTTTCAGTCAGGTGATTAAATACCACCAAAATAAAGCTCTGTCACAAAAAAAATGATCAGAGTTGCCCGTGCAATTGTCATTCAAAGTGCAACAGCCTATTGGCAGTGTGCCCTGTAGGCTAGTCAGTAATATATCCACAGCTTACCAATCATTGGAAATAATGGCTGCATTGCCTCCTGTATTAAGTGCCTACACTCAGAAGGAGCAGAGACACCTTTAGCCACTGTCAGTCTTAGGGAACAGTAGTGTTAGATGCTCTATCAAATTTAGATCTCAAACACTTAGAAGCCCAACACCAGCTAATACTTATAAACAGTTACTGAAACTGTTTTATTTTCATTTTTGGGTAAAGGTTTTATATACAGTACATCTGCAGGACAGCTTGTTTGTTGAAAAAAAGACTTACAGTGGTAACACACAGGAAACAGCAGAAAAATAAAGATTGCGGCCTATTCCAGCCACCAAATTGAAGAATCAATTCTGCAGTGCCTCTTGTTCACACTTATACATCTGCATTTGTGCTCTCCCACTGCCAAAATGCATATGGTCACACCACAAAAAGCACCAAACATCAGGGAAATGAACATGGCCCATCAGTGCTGTACGTTGTCATGCTTTGGCCAATCTGCATAAAATCACACAGGCATGAATATGGGTTAAAAGTTGACTTTTTTATACAGCTACTCAAAGTATATCTAAACCCATTGTAGCAATCATGCACACAGAGATGGACACGGTCATCCATTTTGCTCCAAACCCCTCCATCTTGTATGTCTCTCTCCCAAATCAGATTCCTCCGATATCCCCCCTCCCCTCTTGGTTGAGTGAATGTGGTCTGGATGATGACAGAGATCACAGGCAGCAAACTCATTGGGAGGGCATCATGGCTATTTCCAACCGAGTGGTGCCTAGATGTCTGTTAACTTCTCAATCTGGGAAAATAAACCAAGTCCTTCCTGAGCTCAAAGACATTCCAAAAAAACAGTAAACCAGACACCACATTCAAAATTTTCCCCTATGATTACATGTCTTGGATTATGAAAACTTACACAAACATGGAGCACATATTCGGATGGCTCACTTTAATACAAATCGTTTGATATATTTCATCCCCTAGCTGAGATCAACAAGAGAGCAGAAAATAGTGCAGGTATGACATATTTCATATGTAAAGTTCAGCAGACAATTCTGTGTATTAATCTAATGGGAGGAATGTTATCATGTACCTAGGAAAAGTTATTGACCAAAGTATAGTTTCTGAGGGCGTTGGTCAGAGCCTGAGCTCCCTGCCTAAACTCCCTCCCCAAATGAGGTGATTGGTTCTCTGCTTCAGGGAGGCACCCTGCTAAGTTCCTAGAAAAAGCTGAGGGGTGAGTTAAGTTGAAGATTCTCCCTTTTAACATCGGAATGAACTTTGGTATAAGGCATTCTTTTGGCTCCGAAACCTGATCTGTTTAACCCAAGGCTGACGGCAAGTACTTTCTCCCTCTAAAAAATTCTGTTATCATTGCTCTTTGTGTGTGTGTGTGTGTGTGTGTGTGTGTGTGTGTATATATATATATATATATTGGCTACATCTTTTTCTGTAAATATTTTTATTGCACCCTTTTGACCTTTTAGTAATAAATCTTACTTTTCTGAAAGTGTTGAACTGTTTCTAAAGCTCTTCAATTCAAACTAAGAATCCCTGCCTCTGAAGAGCGCTACTGTGAGTGCTTTAAACTTTGGTATATCTATGCCTGCGGTGACAGTGGTATACAGACGCTTATGCAAACATCATAGTGTTATTGCTGATATTGCCAAGTTTCCGCTTTCTCTGTACAAAAAAGAGGTGGTGGCAGTGTGAAGGTTAATTGCGTAATTAACCTGACCCAGTAACAATCGCTCTCCGGCTGCAGGTACACAGGTTGTGGTCCATTAGCTGGAAAATCTATGTGCAGGGTGCAGCTGGGTGTGGCATTGTTACTCACGTGACAGCGCGGTTTTAGATTGGCTAGTCCTTCGGTCAAAAGTTTGGTGAGAAGGGCTGGGGTCTGACGCCGCAATCGTCACACCCATGACTAATGCTTTTGGATGCAGCAGAGAATACTTAAGAATCCTGGGGGAATAGTCACAAGTGCCGGCAGGAGACCCAAGAACATTGCAATGCATAGAGCAGGTAAGTATGACATGATATTTTAAAGAAAAAAAAAAATGAACCTTTAGAACCACTTTAGCTGTGGCTGAAAGTAGGATTTTCATTGTCAATGTCTCACCAAATGATTACTCTGATGATTGTTCAGTCTGCAATACATTTCACTGGTGACAGCTGTGAACAAAGGGTTAAAGTTCTTGCTAACAAGCGATAAAAATCTCACGTGTAGCCCCAGCCTAAATGCTTAAAAAGCCAGGCGTCTCACAGAGCCCTGCCTGTTCCTTACATCTTTGCTGTCATCAGGCACAGCTGATACAAATTAAAACAGTCTTGGCCTGTAACGCTAATGCATCTATACTACATTTTAAGGCAGACTAAATCAGGCCATTCTGTGACTTTGCTTATGTTTCATATGAGGGGATGGAAGAACTTACTCTAAACACAGTCAAAGATTTCAAATTTCCCTATTTAACATTTTGGTTATCTTTATGGTCATGACAGGGAAAGAAAAAGCAGCTGTCAGGAAGCAATGTGTCCTTAGTTGCCCTATAAGTCTTTACTTCACATGGGCTAGCTCGAAACTACTCATACTGCAGTGTTTAATATTGTGGTGAATTTTAAATTAAATGGGGTAAAGTTCAAAGATGAAAAAGCCTACTTTTGAATAAAACACACACACGAAACAAGTATCAATGACCAAAGGTCTACACTAAATGCATAAATGACAGTCAGTGTTTGAGAGTAAATAGCAAAATCTAAAAATACTGCCATTACATGATCTGCTGGGTTAGATGCTTATTTTTTTTTTTTTAAGCGTATATATATATACTAGATGTCAAGATCCTGGCAAGGATATATTACAAAGTATTGAGATGAACGTTTCATATTGACCAAATACTTATTTTCCACCATAATTTGCAAATAAATTATTTCCAAATCAGCCAATGTGATTGTCTGGATTTGTTTTCTCATTTTCTCTCTCATAGTTGAGGTCTACCTATGATGCCAATTACAGGCCTCTCTCGTCTTTTTAAGTGGGAGAACTTTCACAATTGGTGGCTGACAAAATACTTTTTTGCCCCACTGTATTAGGCAGGAAGTGAACATGTCCACTGACATGTTGAAAGAAAAAATGGGCATGACAGTTTGCTGGGGCTGTGCAGATGCTGACCGGTCAGGATGCCCAAGCTGACCTGTGTCAACAGCCAAAAGCACCTACAATGGACACATGAGCATCAGAACTGGACCACAAAGCAATGAAAGATGGTGGCCTGGTGTGATGAAACATGTTTTCTTTTACATCGTGTGGATGGCTGGGTGCGTGTGCATCGCTTACCTGTGGAAGAGTTGCCACCAAGATGCAGTATGGGAAGAAGACAAGCTAGCAGAGGCAGTGTGATGCTTTGGGCAAGGTTCTGCTGGGAAACCTTGGGTTCTGCCATTCGTGTGAATATTACTTGACATGTACCACCTACCTAAAACATTGTTGGTGATCAAGTACATTCCTTCATGGAAACTGTTTTCCCTGATGTTATTAGCCTCTTTTAGCAGGATAATGCACCCTGCCACACTGCAAAAATGGTTCAAGAATAGTTTGAGGAACATGATGAGTTTGAGTTGTTGATTTGGCCTCCAAATTCTCCAGATCTCAATCCATCAAGCATCTGTGAGATGTGCTAGTAAAACAAGTCCGATGCATGGAGGCCCCACTCCGCAACTTACAGAAGTCTGCTATTAAATAAATAATTTGCGCTAGTAAATGTGTATAAATATATAAATGTATATAAAGAAATCATCAAATCATAAGTCCAGAAAAAAACATATATATGCCAATACCACAAAAAAATATAAAAAAACTTTTAAGTGCAAAAAACTTTTGTGCAAAAAAAAGTGTCTAAATATGAAAAATTCCACCAAAAAACCTTGATAATATAATGGCAGATCATCCATAAATATATCTTCAGAAACGGAAACTCTGCAACACACCGATCCTCATCGATCGAAATAACAGGATGAAAAACTTTGTAGTTAATCGAAAATCCACTTCTCCAATAGATAAAGGACCACCTTCAAAAACGTATCCATGGGGGGAAATGCCAAGCACTCGAGAGAAACAGAAAGACTCATGGTGCAATATTATAAAAACCAATTCCTTTATTAGGTACTCATTGCACTTACTCAAGAGGTGTCCCAGCCGACACCAATCAACAGCATAACAGCAATCACATAAACGAGCCTGGCTATCAGCACATGCGCATTAGCTGGCAGCCAAAAACGTAATGACGTCACATCAATCAAGCTCCGGAATTGATGTGACGTCATTACGTTTTTGGCTGCCAGCTAATGCGCATGTGCTGAGTAGCCAGGCTCGTTTATGTGATTGCTGTTATGCTGTTGATGCTGGTGTCGGCTGGGACACCTCTTGAGTAAGTGCAATGAGTACCTAATAAAGGAATTGGTTTTTATAATATTGCACCATGAAGTCTTTCTGTTTCTCTCGAGTGCTTGGCATTTCCCCCCATGGATACGTTTGAAGGTGGTCCTTTATCTATTGGAGAAGTGGATTTTCGATTAACTACAAAGTTTTTCATCCTGTTATTTCGATCGATGAGGATCGGTGTGTTGCAGAGTTTCCGTTTCTGAAGATATATTTATGGATGATCTGCCATTATATTATCAAGGTTTTTTGGTGGAATTTTTCATATTTAGACACTTTTTTTGCACAAAAGTTTTTTTTGCACTTAAAAGTTTTTTTATATTTTTTTGTGGTATTGGCATATATATGTTTTTTTC